ATCGGGTTAAAAAAATTTTATTTCATTGGATTAAGATTGCATTATTAACAACTATATTATTTACAATTTTTATATTTTATTTTGTAGTTTTATTACTTTTTATATTTTTACAATAGAGATAATTTGAGCGATTTTAGATTCTGATCCGGTTGATAAGGTTTTACAATTAAGTGTGTTTTTTATGTGTTTGTTAATTGTTTACATCTTTTATATTAGGAAACATGGCTCAATCCTTAACTTTGAGWGTGGATTCAAGAAAAAAATTGGATATAGTTGATACATTTAAGATGTAAGAATTCACATTATTTTTTAAAATGACCAGGAAAATCAAAAATTATTACAGAAAACCAGTTTCTGAGAAAAACTATTTTCCTTTTTTGTTTTAACTAAAAAATGAATAGTTAATAAGAATTTAAATATTCATGTTATAATTATTTAGTAAAGATGCTATAATTTAAAAAAAAATTCCATTAAATTTAGATTGTTTTTAATTTTTTTATATTCTAATATTTGTTTTAAAGTGAAAAAGTTTGAGAGTAAAACGTAAATCACCTCATTCGCTTTCTATACTCAAATAATATTATTTTTAAGCGTTTAAAAAGTTCGAATTTTCATAAAAGTAGTAAAATCAAAATATTTCAAATTATTTCATAGATTATTATGTATAGTAATTATCTTTATGACGGAAAATTCAAAAAAGTTTACAGTAAAGCCAAATAAGTTGAAGTTCGATTTTAACAAAAAATAACGATTTTAGTTATTTATTTGCATTTAAAAAATATTATTCRTGGGAACTTTAATTTATATTATTACATGCTAATGTACAAAATAACATTTTTTATTTTACTTAATTTTAAGATATTACTTATATTTTATACAAACATTTATATTATTAAATATATGATATATAACATAATATAATATGAATTGTATATATATTTTTTCTTTAGTTAACCCGCGGCAACATAGGCCATTGGTTTTAGGGAGGGTACGGTAGGGTTTTAAGTTGAGTATGCTTTTGGTACACGTGTGTGTGTGTTTTGGCAGAATTTCTAGTGGGCAATCGTTTCTGCCATGCCCAAATTGTATATTATTATGATATAAATATACACTTTTGTAGTCATTATTTATATAATTAATGTAATATAATGTGATATTTTCGACAAAAATTAATTCAAACTACAATATTACTATAAGTAAAATAAATTACCAAACAACAACCTTTTTTTGAAGGTATGAATGAAATTTTCTATTACATATCATGTACAAAATACAAATTGATTGTCCTAAATATGAAACAGTAATTCAAATCATAAAATTCAAAAATTCAGGCATTTAACACATAAATATATATTTTGGTTCCGTACCAATCTCAATATTTTCTATTAGTTATGTTTTTTTGTGTTAATTGGTATGAACAATAATGAATTCACATCAAAAAGAAAAAAATAAAAGAAAATATTTGAATATGCTATTCTAAATAATTGGTCATTACGAATTTATGAATAAAAATCTATAGTAAAATACACGATTTGGTTTGATGTATAAAAAAAAAAAGTCTATATATATGTAAATAATAACGATAATAATATTTTTCTCTTGCATAAAAATTAAAAGCATAGTGATGAGACTAATTATTTCAAGTGACAATTGGCAAAAAATTATGACAAAACGAATAATATTAATTGATTAATATATTAATCAGACACTTAAGAGGACACTACCCGTACATTTGTTGTCTACATCTTACATACTTAATACATCGCAAATTTTTTTCACTACCTAGTTCCAATAGTGTGTTGTTAGTTTTAATATTGAATGAATTGACCTATTATAAAAACTTTTAGATGAGAGCATAATCTGTGTTTAACCGTCTGGTATTATTCAATACCATTTTCAAGTAAGATACCATAAACGTTTACTATATAACGCGATATTTCATAGTATATCAATTTATTGATTAAAAATTAAAATATTGAACAAATTGTCGATGCTCAACCTTAGATAATTGTTTRATCAATATTTTTGAAAATAAGTCAATTCAGTATAATATCAAACCTAACAGCACACTATCAAAATTTAATATGTCGTACGTTTGTAAGACAGAGAAAACAAACGGATAGCGTTATCTTATAAGTCAATATTCTAATCATGGATAAAATGCGATATAAATTAAATTACTATCTTATGGTTCTTACGTTTCGAAATATTTAGAATTCTTACTGTCAATCGGTTAATTGTTCATAGTTGTGACAAAAGTCAGATCTTGCTATAATTAAAATCGAATATCACAGTTCATTTGATCATGTTTCAATTAGCTTTGTAATACCATACCTTAACTCTTAGTGAAATTATAATTGTTTTCTATAAAAAAAAAAAAATTATGTAGAAAATATGGTTAATGTACTAGCTAAAGTGAATAATTAGATTGCGTTCAAAATACATATAATATAGTATACCTAGTATTACTACCTTGCGTAGTACAACAAATATCGAAAATTTCAAAATATGGTTTCTAAAAATCAGAATTCGAATAAATGTACTATTAAAGGGAAATATGGAGGTGAGTATGCTTAAAAAATTACTCTAGACATAGACTACACACACACTTACACAGATATATATATATTAAGTATAATATTATGGATTTTCTCCAAGCTTATCACATTTCCCTATTTATATAGTATGTATAATAATATTGGAAGGTAAACCTAATAACTTAAATTCAACTTTTAAACCAACTTACTAAAGCTTTGAATCACAACTAATTAGAACTCTTAATACCCATACAACACAGCCGGTCTCGAGTGACAACACTAATATAAACAGCAACAAACCTAAATCAAATACCACAGTCAACGTAAACATAAAAATATTTTGGTAATACGACTATATAGTCTGAAACTCTTCACAGCATTGTTCATCATCATACTTCGCTATTAATTTGATATAATACTTTAATTTTGCAAAATTTACTATCTGCTCGGACTAATTAGAACATTTTAAAACATTCAAAACACAAAAATCAATATTGAATTGGGTGCAAAGCTAAACTTAGTTTTTGTATTAAACATTTACACTAATCTACAATATTATTAAATTATAGCGTTAATTTTTATGAAGATTAATATTTAGTGTTACGTTCTACATATGGGTAGTTTTTTAGTTAAAAATACTTTGTTGTACACAATAGAGAATATATTATCATATTCTCATATGAATACATATTCTCATTGGTACATATTGTATTCAATAAATACAATTATCATTAATGAATTGATCAACAAGTTAACATTTATGTCTTACATAACATATAAGTAGTGTGGGTATGGGTACAATTTATTAGTATATTTTAAATAATGGCTGTATGTAAACTGCGGCAAAATTTACCTTTTTCTAAAAGTCGATGTGTAAGCTGCGGCAAAAAAAAATTAAGATTATACAATCTGCGACAAAACCGATAAGATACATCATACAAACTGCGGCAATGTATTTTATATACTTTCTATATATACTACGTATACGTATCGTTACGATAATCTATATACACGTTTATCGTTTAATTAGGTATAATACCTATTACGTGTTATGACAGCTATAAGTATCTCTTAGAGTATAAGGCTTAAATATAAAGAAAAACCAATTTTTAAATATTGAAAAGTATGTTATTGTTAAAAAATATTTTTAAAAATCGTATAATCAAAAAAAAAATAATAATAATAATAATAATATAATACGTATTACGTGTTGTGGCAGCTTTTGGTATCTCTTATTAGAGTTTAAAAATACATTTGGATTTACCTTACCAATTTGTACTCAAGACGAAACATCACATAATTAATTTAACGATATACGTACATAGGTATGTACTATATATAGTATACATATATAGAAAGTACCTATATAAAATAAATTGCCGCAGTTTGTATGATGTATCTTATCGGTTTTGTCGCAGATTGTATAATCTTAATTTTTTTTTTGCCGCAGCTTACATATTGACTTTTAGAAAAAGGTAAATTTTGCCGAAGTTTACCATCCCCCTAAATAATTACCTAATAATATTATGGTTGGAATTTTATTTTAGTAAACATGTTAAAAGATAGTCCAGAATCTACTGAGCTAATTTTGTTTTTAATTGTCACCAAGCTTTATTATAAAATATATATTATACATTAGTTTATTAACATACCATAATAGCCAATGGTTAATAAAAATAAAACAAAATACATAATAGTTAAATCGATACAATAAATATAATATAGTCTATACACAATAAAATACCTATTAAACTCAATTCATTAAGTGTAAATATCAAAATAAAAAGGTTACCTAATATATTATAAATCAATTTACTATTTTTATGGTTTCAATCGATGCTCACTAGAATCTATATTATATATTATGTAGTTGTCTGAATTAGCTAACTGAATTTATTCCGAGTACATAATTTTAAAGACACCCGTAAAATATTAAAATCAATAAAACCATATTTTAAATAAATTTAGTTGAAGTACTGATGCATATAATTTTAGTGGCGCAGGTAGAATACATGAAACTGTGGTTTGCGAAAACATGATTTAAAAAATATTTTACCAAAAATAATTTCCTGTTTTCCCCGTAAATAAAACTCTATATTGAAACTTACGATATATGTATAATCGATAAGTGACCATTAACGGTGTTATTAAACCGACAGAGTTGCCGATGTATGTAAATTTGAATATTATTGTACGCAAAAGAAGTTAAATATGAGTAAGTGAAAATGTTGTTTTTATCATGTTGGTTGAAATCTGTTAACAGCTGAATGGGCAACATTGAAATATTATAAAATATCATAAAAAACAAAAATAAAATAAAATGTATTTAAAGTTAACCGGAAGAAATGTTTATACAATTATCTCCAAGAAAAATATGACAATATTATACAATACGTATATTAAACTGCTTGTCGAAGAAATTTTAATTTTACTTACTAATAACACATATAACAAAAAACTTACCCCATCCGATAGCCATATATGTTCGCAACCGCACTCTGTCTGGAAAAAATGTATCTACGACTATTATAAATAAATACATCCCTGAAAACAAATTAATTAAGTATTAAAATCGTATAAATATTTTACGCATACATTTAATTTATGGGTTTGAAGTTAAATTTGACCACTGCAGTTATTTATGCAACAATAACAAAATTCACACACAAATAAATAAAACAAATACCAACACGCAGTTGAGTCTCTTGAGGGAACGTGTGTTATTTTAGGATTAGTAATAATAATTTAATTTATATTACGATGTTTACCTTCGATAAACGCCCAAAAATAATTTGTCATGGTGAAATAGTAAAGTGGTAACACCAACAAAGCACATTTAAATGTCCCTGTGTCGGTCAAGTTCTGCAAAATAAACGTTTCTTCTGATTAAAATAATTAGAATTTCCAAATATTATTATATATGTATATAATATGTAGAAATTTTTATTATAATTAAAATTAGCTTATAATTTAATATTATAAACTTATAATTATATTTTGAATAATTTAATTTTATCAGTATTCCAGAATATAATTTTTATTAAAAAACATCTTTAACTTTAGAAATGAATTTTAGTCAATAATCARTACCATAGATTTTTTTTTAATATTTGCTATTATATGGGTTCATAATATTTAATATTATATATACCTACACGTATCGATACTAAAATATTTATTTTAAATATTTTAATAAAGTTTATTTGAATTTCGTTCTATTATAATTTTTAACTATAAAACTTAATTTAACCAGCAATTTTATTTTTGTATATTTTCTTATTTTAAATGAAACAAAACTTTGATTAGTGTTAATATTATTTGATAAATGTAATAGAAATATTTTCCCTAGTTTATTAATCATATATGCATTAAAATACTAATATTTCTATAGGTACTAATAAATTATTATTTAGTGATAGTTTTCATCGAATAAAATATAAATACTTGCCTATAATACGGCAAATTTAATTATTAAAATATTACTATTAAGTTTATGTCTTTAATTATGTATATACTATATATACTATATACCAACAATCGACATAAACTTAGCAAATTGGCAAACATAGTGGTATCCGGAGTCCGGACATATCATACCATTTTAAAACTAGTTGTTTTCACTATTTTAACCCCGTCTGAATTTTTGCTATTTTAATTATGGTAATATTCAAAAAGTGCTCATAATTTTAATCGTATCGATATAGTTTTGAATCAGATATTCATATCAATGTGTTTATCACTATAAAATTTTAGTTATTTTTTTAACAGAATAATATCGTAATTATAAATAATAAATGATACGCTTGTTTGATTACTGAAAATGTTCAACATTGTTAGGTTAACATTTAGGCAGGTATAAATTATATTATCATGATAATTTATTAATTAAAAAATAGTTTTTATTTTTTTAACGTTTACGAATACTGAATATTTTTAATTCAATTTAAATTATACATATTGATCCAAATTTTTAACACTACAAAAAATACAATAATAATCATAAACTTTTAAATTGTATTTTCTTCAATTAGAATCAATTATTTAGTAAGTAGTTATTCAATTTTTGAATGAATTATTGACATTATTGACATTATTGACATTATAAAATGTAAGTATAATTATTTTAAGCTATTTTACAAAAGCATTACAAGTACTTTATTCTTTGAGCTACAAGATTAAATATATTATATTTCAAAAAACAGATTAATTAATTGTTAACATACAGTGTAGTTAAGTATCCACATAATGCCTGCTAATAAGTACGATGCCATCAAATTTGAGTGGATTTTGTTCCGCAAACATTTCAGTTCTCTATGGAATAAAATGTACAAAAGACATTTATTATAAATATTATTGTTCGATAAAAGTAATTTAGTTTGTATTGTACTTCTCACTTAAATCGGCAGAATACAAAAATGGCCAGTGATGTCATTATTAGTGACAAACAATGACCAGCTATATACAAATAAATAATTGTATCAACAGTGCCTTCTTCATCGTAAGTCACTGCTTTTGGATCACCAAGAATCGTACACTCGTTAAAATCGGTTAGGCCCCAGGTATTGTTCTCGTAACATATTCTACTTGCATTTTCTAAAAATTTGAAAAAATAATAAAATATTATTGTTTCACGAGATTTGACCAAATTCATAATTTTAATTATATAATTCATTTTATGCGAGTAACTTAAATTTTTAACATTGGGGGGGGGGGTGTTTTAATTAAATGTTTTATTACAACTTTGGGGAAATTGATGTTCACACATATATTACATTTTTAGATTGTACCATCGAGGAGAGAGGGTGCTTTCACAATCAAAATACCTTCCCTAACTACGCGCCTGGTTTATATTGACACTCTCTAATAGACATAAATTACTTTCATACATAAATTAAGATATCTTAATTCATGCTTTCATACAAAAAGTATAAAATCATTCGTGCATGTTAAACATTTTAAATTGTGATAATTGGACGAAAATAAGAATTTACTTTGAAACATACAATTTCCAACTCAAATTGCAAAATAGTCTTCAAAGTTATTATATGATAATAGTAAAATAACACACTTTAAAAGATAAATATTATGAATTCTCAGATAAGTAGCATTATGATATATGACATTACTACATCATCTATGTATCAAGGCAAACTAAAAAATGGACCTTATTAATATAATATCAGATGTATAGAAGAATTCTTAACTAATGTTGTCSAAGAAAAATATTGTTTTTGTATGTTTACATTTTATAGATCAGATAACTATTGTAAAATATGATATTTTGAATTTTGAGGAAATAATTTTTTAGTTGTGTTAAGTCCTCTAATCTACTCCAAGCTTAAGAAAACGGTCGGTAAAAATAGAAAATAATTTTATGAATATTAAAAAATTGATGTTGTTACTTTTTAAATTTAATATAAAAATTGACACTACCTGAGTGAAACGAGACAAGTGATTAACATGACAATATGTTTCGCTTATTTTATTTTATTGGTGTAATTATGTTGTTATAATTAATGTAGAATGTAGATGTAGTATTTTGTAATTGTTTTAGAGTTTTTGCCAAATAGTATATAGTTTTGACGTATACCAGAAATATTTTCCTTTTATTTTATAATAATAAAATCCTTTTATTAAACATTTTTTTTTTGTGTTACTCATAATATCTAAATGCTCTTTTGCATAGTTTTGCAAGTTCTGATGTGGCTGGTACCTATATACTACACAATATGCAGCTTTCAAAAAGAGTTTGAGAATAAGTATCCATTTATATTATTGCATAATTGTAACCTATGTTGTCACTGATTAATAGAGTTACTGTCATTGTTTAAAAATATATATAATTTAGTTTTTAAAAATAGTCCAGTTTGTTTTGGTCATTGGTATAATAAATCTATGAAATTGGACGAGAGATAGATACAATCGAGAATAATTGTGATTTTTTTGCAAAACTAAAGATTACTAGTCACACGAATTGTTCATAATATTGAACATATAAATAATGTATTGTATATATTTTAAATGTTTTGAATATTGTAATATTTATTGAAAACATAATTTTCATATAAATACTATTACTATATGTATAATATAGGCATATAATTAATAATATTAAAAAAATAAAATTGTATTAAACCTTAACTCAAATGATTTTATAGTATAATAATTATAAACTGGATCTACAGATAACTTAATTTTAGCAGTGGTTTTTCCATAATCGTTTAGTACTATATAATATAGGTATTTATTGTTTTAGCTACTGAAAAACATCGTTATTGTTCTATGATAACCATATTTATGAAATGTACGAAATTATTTTGACAAACATTCAGCATTTTTTGGTACCGTAATGTAAGAAGTAGGAAAACTGAGTACCAAATACGTAGTAAACAAGTATCACCTAGTTAGATAATGTAACATCATAAAATCAGTTTTTGAAAAAAACAACCTACTATTGACGTTAAATTCATACATAATGTTAAATTATAATAATTATACATAATAAAATTAATTAAAAAATAGTAGGATGTTATTCTTTAACAATGATTAATGGTAAAAAATTGGTTTTCATACGAAGGTTGCAACGGATATTTTCTAGAAATAGTAATTTAAAAATAAAAAAAACACAAAGCAATACGCGTAGACCTAAGCCATTGAAGTTATTTTATTGTTGTTTATTAAAATAATTATATATAATAATCAATATTTAATAACGGCGTCCGTGTATAACATAATTTTAACAGCACTATATTATCATAAATTCTTAAAGTAGTAAAAAATAACGCATAGGTAATATAATATTATTAGCTGAACGTTACAACTGTTCTTTATAAATAAGTTTTAACATCGGTTAATATTTACATAATATTTTAAAGATAAGCTATTAATTTACTAGTATTAGTTTTTAATTCAATCAAAATCGAATAAAACAAAAATACTTCATAAATTCTTCAAGATAATCAGACTTATATATTGTTATTCATAGACCTAAATACCTAGAAACTAATTATGAGTACCTATCTGTATGAAATATTGAACAAAAATGAAACCAACAATGAAACTAGGCAGTGATGGCGTCAGGGATGGGTCAGGTAGGGCCACGGCCTTACTTGAAAATGTCTGCCCCTACCAGTGGCCCTACCACTGATCTGACCTTAGACATAATAATATAGTCATTTTTCATAAGCGGAAATTAAATAATGTTATTTGTATTTTGTTCACTGTATGTAATTTAACACTAACAATATAAATACTTCTAAATTATATTATATGATAATTATTAATACTATTCCTAGAATAAATAATACTCCTACTTGTTTAATAATTCATTGGTTTTCATTAGAACGAATAGAACGTATTAAGATAGTATCGTCCTACCAATTTACCATTATACACCTATAAACTAATCGACTTTGCGTAGAGAAAGAAACCGTCAGCCAACATTGAGCAAAGGAGATAGAGTTACGAGTTGGGAAAATATAGTGTTATAAACATGAAAAAATTGGTATATGAAAATAGCTATGGAAAAACAAGTGCCAATAGAAGAAAACGAATTTAAATCGAGAATATTCTATTGTATTTTGGACAAAATAACAAATGAGTTAGATAAGAGATTCGGTGATAATTCTGATATAATATAAACTGATATATATATATATATATATATATATATATAATATACTTCTTAATTCAGAACCAATAACATTTTTAACATATAATACAATATCACCTTTTGCAAAAGCTTTTTTAGATGACATAGAATGCCTAAAATCAGAATTAAAAATATTATATAAGCCCATGAACTGTTATGAAAAAAAAAAATTTAAAAATTAAAGATGTTTTCCAATTTCATAACTTTCTTAAGGAATATGAACTAGCATTTTCAGAAACATATAAATTATATTCTATTGCTATACCCGTGTCATCAGCTGCGTGTGAACGTACATATTCATGGTGTAATGAAACGCGTATAAAAAGTTATTTAAGAAATAGTTTATTAGACACTAACCTTACAAGTTTAAGTATTATATCTATTGAAAAACGTGAAGCTAAGTCACTAGACATTGATGAAATAATAAATAAGTTTACAGATGCACATAGCAATCATAGAATTATTTTAAAGTAGATTTGCTATAGTATTGTAATCATTTGAAGGTTTTAAATATAGTAATTAGCTCATTTTAACTGTTTTTTTTTTTAATTATTTATTTATTGTTAAAATCTCATTTTTAAAATATTATAAAAATATAGTATACAGAGTGTCCCGTGAGGATTTACCCATTGTGATATCTCACAAAATAATGGAGATATCAAAATTATGGTTTTATAATAAGATTTACAGAGTTAAGAAATACAATCATTTTATTTTTAAATTTATTTTAATGTTTTTGTAAAAAATTTAAAAAATAAAATTTTTTATTTAATTATTTCCAAAAAAATTAAAGATAGCCATTTTGTAGAGTTTATTTTTTTGAAAATATTGACGTTTCAACATTTTATTTCCATTAATTTCCTGATTTTTGATATTTTTTCTGGTTTTGAAGAAATAAAATATGATTATAAATATATTACTATTAGGAACACGGAAAGTATTCAGCCGACTATATAGGAATGCGTGCGGCGCGGTGGGTCAATTTATTAGTAATTCGCAATTTTTCTCGAAACTAAAAAAAATCTTAAAAATCAAGAAATTAATGAAAATAAAATTTTGGACGTCAATATTTTCAGAAAAATAAACTCTAAAAAATGGCTATCTTTAATTTTTTTGGAAATAGTTAAATATAAAAATATATTTTTTAACTTTTTTACCAAAACATTAAAATAAATTAAAATATGAAACAATTGTAGTTATTATCCCTGTGAGTTTATTATAAAACCAGAATTTCGATATCACCATTATTTCGGGAGATATCGCAATGGGTTAATCCTCACGGTACACCCTGTATGTATATATATATATATATTTTTACTATTAAAATGTATAATACAAATTATAATGCACTATATAAAATATAGTATATTTTTTTTATATAATATGTACCTGTCTATAACCCACCGTGTTAGAACTTATTATGTTGGTATATTTTTACCGCGTAGGAACTAACGTACGTACCTCTTCGTGTAGTATATCACATATTTAGGAATTAACGTATATAATTTTTTACTTGTTACTCTCGTGTAGGAGCTTACGGTTCCCCATTTTCAAATATTATTAGTTTTTAGTCTATACATTTTTATTTTTATTTTTTTAAATGCAATATATAACATTTTGGCACAACAAGTAGATGTGAAACAGGTTAGTTATATACAAATTATTTTAAAAAATACATCATATCCTTAAGTCTTATAAATAATTAACATTTATCGGTACATACTAATAAATATATTTATTGCTATTTTACATAAATATTATTGTGAGTATGGTATGCTTATTTTTTATAATAAACTGGTTCGGTAAGAAATATTTTGTACGACGAAATACATTATTTCATAATATATGAGTTATATACTTATAGACCATGTATCGTTAATCAAAATATAATATAAGTACCTAATGTAACATGACTTATATTAAGTTATAACACGCCTTACCC